AGGAAGCCCTTAAGTTTAGTTACTTACAATAAAACTTAATTTATCTTTCGAAACTATTTTCCAGCAAACATCCCTCATTTAATTTGTGAACTTTTCTGACTTTGGAAGTTTGTGAATAGACTAACATCAATGGCTATTTGTGTTATCCTATTTTATTATAATCAGAACCATGTGTAAATAATCGAAAATAAAAATTGGGAAATAAAGAAAGAACCTGCATCTAAGGAGACCCTCAGGTTCGCCAAACAAGTGAAGAAACCTTTGGTTTTTGGAATCAGCACATTTTTCAGTACGGGCAATCCATTTTCAACGGCAAACTTCTGGTTATTTTTGCACTTTTTTTCACTGTACATAAAGCAGGACAGCCATAAGATATGTAACATTTTCAATGAAAAATGTACAACCAGCACAGTGAATGACAAAAATATCTTTATAACATATCTTTTTAGCATAATGTCTAATTTAGCAACCAAACATTAGAAACAAATAATAAAAGAAAAAAATCAGTCATTTTCAAAAATTACAACCATCAATGCATGAGGTTTATGTTGGTTTCATAGGGCAACTCTCTCAAAAGGTAAAATATCTACAACTCTGAGAAAATAATTCGATTAAATTCCTGAAGAATTTCATCTCTACATAGCACCATAATTGACGAGAGATATAAAATTACGTACAAGAAAAAAGGGTTAACTAAGTTATCCAATTCCCTTCCATCAGGTGGAAAAATAAAAGAAAAGATATGAACTTGAGGAAAAAGAAAAGGAAGGTAGAGAGTTTACGTATAATCAGTTCCTTCTGGAAAAACAGCTAGCCATAGTGGGTCCCGATAACCGGTAAAGGTCTCAAGCATTTGGCGCATTACTGGCTCATCAACTTCCCACTTCCTCTCCACAGGAACAAACTCTAAGACGTGAAATCCCCACCCGAAAATCGGAAGTTTCATCAAACTACTCTTGAGAACGTACTTTATGTATCCCAAGCATCCTTTCCTGAGTGCAAGGTTCCATAGATACATCCAGTCGACCTCTGTTCTGTGGTTGGACATTATCAGAACACGTTTTTCAACCGGAATTCTGTCCCCAGAAAAGACAAACCTAGTTTTGTTTATTTTTTCGAAAAAGAATGGCCATAAACCAAGCCACAAGCCAAACAGAAGGGATGCACACTTTCTACTATAATGTACACTAAACAAGCGCAATACAGAGACTGGTGGCACAAAATACACTAAGAACATGAATGCTGTTGAAAGATAAACTGTTAGGCATAGTACGCCCCTCAAAATTCTGAAAGGGGTCAATGGGAAATGCTTTACTGTGTTGTTGGGTTGATTGGGCAGGCTAGAATCCATGATTTTATAGTTAACCTTTAGTACTCTCAGCTATAAGTGGGTACAAGATAGTGATCTTCAATCTGTATGGTGTATCTTATGATTTGAGCTTCTTTCGAGCCGAAAAGGAGATCAATTGCCATTATATATCACAGAAATTCATAAGGCACAAATCTGCAATCAAATAAGTGCACCTCAAGTTAGCCTCAATTGCAAAATTGTATCTCTAAGAATATTCTGAACAGAAAAGTTTAAGCTGATGCAGTAATTAGGTCATTGGAATAACCAACTAACAAGAGAAGAATGATTCCTGTTTTGCTTTTTATTTTATTTTATTTTTTAATGAATGTGCAGTTCCACTACCTAAATTAGAAAATAAATGCACTGAGACAGCCAAAACAAAAACAGGTGCTTGAAAATTTGGTTAGAACCCTTAATCAGATTTACAAGAAACATCATCTGCTATGAAAATAAATAGGCACCATAAAAGCATCGAGTATAATTTTGATTGCATATATGCAGGTACTAATATATTCACATTAAAGATGAAGAAATTGAAACAACTTCTCCTTTAAAGAATGTTAAAACCAAAGATGAATTTTGTTCAAAGAAAACTACAAACTAAAGATACTGTGAGATTTCTTATTTCATCCGAATAAAGGTCATAACAGTAATCAACAGCACAACTGCTCATCCACCAGATTTTTCCTTATATCACAAAGAAACACTGACCATAGTAAAGATCACTCTTTTCTTTTTCTTCTTTTTGATTTTCCTTCATCAAATCTTCCACTTGCCTAGGTTGACTAAATATATATGCTCGATTCACTGTAAATACAAAAATGTCATACTTTTGTGTAACCAAATTCGAACTCTATTCCTATATTCTGCTCTTTTAAGTAGTAATCTCTCTTACCTAATTTTCTGCAATTATTCGCAACTGCATGCTAAATTAAAGACATGTTCGTATCTAAAGTTGTCGATTTATTAGTAATCCTTCCAAACATCCATGACCAAAAACCCGATCTGTAGCATGCTAGCAAATTAGTTAAGCCAAAATCCAAACGAATGTCAAGACAAATAACAAGTAAAATCAACATCAAAACAAAGATCTTCGACTCAACATAAAAAAATCAAAACAATCTCATCGGAAAACGAAATATGCTTTTATATTTTTTGTTCGTCTTCTTCAGACATCACCTGATTGACTGGTCTGAAGCTCAGAAGCACAAAAACCCAAAGCCCAGGCAATGCAACAGGGACTTGAAATATTATGCGCTGGATTATAAATATGTATACCGTTGCGGATGGTGTATATAATTATTCAGAGGGGTGTGGACCCGAAGACGGCGGGGGAGAGGAGAGTTAATATCAAGGGTTGATTTGAGGAGAAGCCGCCATTAATGAATTTAATTGTTTGATATGTGAGTGAGATGACTGCTGCTTTCGTCGACCGATTCAGCCCGACAAGCTGCGCCGGTGTTTGGATCTGCTTTGACTTGTTAAGAGCACCCACAATGCTTTGGGTCTCTTTTTTTATACGTGACATATAATTGAACTTGAGTCTTAAATAACGTGGACAAACCCAAGTAAAAAACTTTAATAACTTTACAATACAAAAATAAAAATACTAGGTCTAACATATATGTCAACCAATAAAAATGATCTAATATGTTTTTTTTATTAAAAGAAAAATTAAAGTAGGAATAAATGATTAGTGTTTGGGTTTATACTTGAGTCCAAAATAGACCCAAGTGTGGACTTAGTCTCTTTTTTTTATTATCACATAAGCTAGACAATGTCCATTTTTAATTGAGGAAATATTTTTTTATAGACTAAGTATATTTCTTACATGGCATGTGATTTTTTATCAAGAGACCCAACTCTAAACCAAAAAATGTTCAATAAATTTTAGGGAATAGTGTCGTCTTTTTTCTATTTTTCTTTCTTTTTCTTTTCTTTCTCAATTAAACTCAAAAAAGTAATAAATTAATAATAAGCGAAATAGCGTGTCTCTTAAGGATTGCTTGAAGTTGTTGCCAACATGCCTTAAAATGGAAACAAAAGAAAAAAGAAAAAGCAAATAGCAATGAGATAATTCTCTCACGCTTAATGCTTAAGTTTTTACTAACAGAATGACGTTGAAAGTCACAAGGAGAGAGAAAAAAAAAGGTGATGTTATTCACTGTCCCCATTACTGCGTACTTCTTAGACCATTTTGTTCCTGTTATTTTTTTAAACACTGCATAAAATTGTAAGTCCTGTCTACCAGGCGATTTTTGACGAATAAATGTCTTCCGACGAGGTGAGTTTTTTGGTCGGCCGGCTGGCAAAACTGGACAAACTGATGCCGACCGAGGCCGCGCTCAATACGGCCGGCCAGCAATTTAGGTCCAGTGTTGGCCGCTTTCTGCGGCCAGCCAGGCCACACATGAACTAAATTGCTCGCCGGCCGGACCGAGCCCGGCCGACATCAGTCCAGCCGACCACAATTTTTTTTTTGAATTAGTTAATTTTATTTACGAAAAAATTATAGTAGTAGAAATTATTATGTTATATATTAGAATTCATTATCTTATAAATTAGAATTTATTACTACTATGTTAGGAGTTAGAAATTATTATGTTATACATTAGAATTAAGTATCTTATAAATTAAAATTTATTATTTATATTAAAATCCAGATATTATTATGTTGTAAGTTATAATTGATTATCTTGTAAAATTATTAATATACATCGTAATATATTGCAGGGGTAATTCGAAGATTTTGGAGGAAACGGTCTTGATTACAGTATTGCTTTCACTATAGATAACCTATTTGTTAGTGATGTCGATGCTATTGAGTGGGCAAAAGGAATTGCAATTTTTTATGGTGTTTCATTGATCATTTCGAAACACAAAAAGGAAAAAAAGTTGAAGTTTTTGAAGTGTTCGCGAGGGGAGCGTTATAGAGGCTATTTAAATGATTTAAATAAAGTTGCTGTCAGATGTTCGAAAACTAAAGCGAGCAAATGCCCTTTTGAGATAGCAGCCAAACAGGTGGCAGGATCTACATATTGGAGGATCCGCGTACGTCCTGACGGTAAGAAGGGAATGCATAATCATGCAATGGTTGTGTATCATGAGGGTCATCAACAGATGAGCGGACTTATGTTTCATCTAAAGAGATTGTCCATGATATGACTGCTGCTCAGGCAAAATCGGCAGTAACTTATGCTGCGATCCAGGATAAAAACCCGACAAACAACGCTACTCAGCGACATGTGTATAACTATAAAGTTAAATTGCGGAGATATAGTTTTGAGGATAGAGATGTGATTACCATGGTTCTGCATTTGGCTACAGATAACAAGTATATAGTTTATACAGATGTTGATCCGGACACACGGGCATTGACACGTCTGTTCATGTCGCATCCTACAGCAGCCAATCTATTTTGGACATATTATTGATACGCTGGTATAAATTCGATATACAAAACCAACAGGTATGTTACTTTATAAATAACAAATTAGTATGAATTTTAATTAGTATGTTTAAATAAGTATTTTGATTCTACGTTTCCTCTTGATGCTTTCATTTGCACAGGTACCAGATGCCATTGGTGTAAATTATTGGGATGACGCTATGCGACAAGAACTTCTTAATTACATATGCAATTATCAAGGACAAGAGTAAGGACAACTATGACTGGGTTCTCCAGAGGTTGAGACTTCTGATGGGGTATGATGTAGATCCTAATACCATTGTCACTGACAGGGAATTGGGCTTGATGACTCCTATTCGAAGGAATTTTCCAGAATCTGCCCACTTACTTTGCACATGGCACATCAACAAAGATGTGGAAGACAGGGTCTATCGACTCGTTAAAAAAAAAATAAGGAATTCTCTCAGAAGTTCAAGCACGACATGTGGAAGCTGGTACAGAGGATGAATACAACACTGCCATACGTGACCTATATGTTCGGTACGCGTTGTTTACAAGTGTTAGAATATGTGGAGTATACATGGTTAGTCTAAAAGGAGATGTTTGTCAAAGTGTGGACGAATTCGAAAACACATTTTGGCAACACTACTTCGTGTAGAGTAGAGAGTACCCACGCTGTGTTTAAGCAGTGGTTTAACACGTTAACCGGTTCACTCGATACAATGTGGGAGAAGGTTAATAAGGAGATTGTGTCTCAACTAACTCAAGTCAGGTACATTTATTAAGCTACGCATATGTACTATGTTATTACTGCATTAATTATGAATTTCATTCGGTCGAATGCTATGTAATGTATTATCATGTGCACGCTGGAGTCTTCAAGACGTAGAAGAGTTGTGACCTATACTGGATTCCCATTCGCGTACTTGGATCTACAGGTCTCGCATCACTGTCTGCATTTAATGAATGATGAGCTTAAGAGGATGCGAGGCTTGAGCGATGAGGCTTCCTTGCGCTGCGGATGTGTGCTGAAATACACTCATGGAATTCTTTGTGTCTGTGAACTAAGGGCGACACAGACTTTGGATATCGATTACCGTCGACATGATCCACAGGTTCTGGAGAACACTAGAGGTGTCAGAGTCAGGTATCATTGTGAGATTGATAAATTTATAGAATTTATCTAGTTTCTGTTTCATTTCTTAGTATACTTCATGTACTGAATAGAGTATGCTGTTTAATTTTTTGAATTTTTAATCATCAGCTTTTTAAGAGCTTTGCCGATGAGGTTGAAACTGTCGATGTTGCAACGGTGCGACACGTGAATCACCACATCTACGCTCACCTTCACTCTGACCAAAAAGGTTATACAGAACCTGCAGTGAAGGAAAATACAAGAGGTCGACCCAAAAAAAACCAATTCAACCAAGCGTCGACCATCGAAATGGTAGTACAGGGATAGAGTTCGTCTGGTGGGGTGTACAAGAAGTTTTTTGTGTGCCCCCACAAGCTCGTTTTCTGCCCCTTCACAAGATCCAACAAGTTTGTTTGTTTTTTTTTTTTTTTTTTTTTTTTTTTTNTTAAAAGAACATTAACTAAAATTCAGTAAACACATAATCGGTATTGGCGCGTGTAGGGACCCCGTGCTCGTCCAGTAGACTGTCACCCGAGATAATACAATGAGAAACCCGAGCTTAACCACTCCGAGTACTCAACATGGGCCTCCATGAATCATGTGTTGAGGGGGTGAACACAGACAAGTTAGCGCATGCCGACTGCGGGAACTGGTGCCAGTTATCTTCTGCAGCAGTATTAGCATGCTCAACCTGGTATAGCCTAGACTTCTAAGCACGTACTACATTGTATGGGTGAAGCATATAGGGAGGGACAGTCTGGACGAAACCCAGCTAACGCAAAAACCACACAGGCATGTACGACTCCAAAATATCGATGTACCTAAGGCATCCGAAATAAAAGGTCCTAGGCTCCATAGCAACTGGGTTGCGACCGTATGGCAACCAGCTCATATATTCACAATTGTATAAAAACATTTATTAAAATAATTCTATTATTTGAAATAACATTTAACTAAATTTATATAAAATAACATAACGTACCTCGGCGGCAGTGAGAGTGTCAAGGCACCGACGGAGAGAGGTGAGACGATCTGACCTCTTCTTCGGTACCCCTACGCTCCACGAGCGAGATCATGCAACACAGTTAGGACCGATGGGCAGACGCTCTCGCTGGGGTCAGAAGGGGGGGAAGTACTTATATATGCAGGACTGCAGAAGAGCCAAATAGCGAGACAGTCCCTGTGTGTCCCCCCTGCTGGTAATACGTAACTGTCTGTACAGGTAAGCAGTGCAGTCGAGGCCCAGGAATAAGTCTCAACTCTACTCACGTCGTCGATCATCTCGCCAGGAGTTTGGGACTTACCCTGTTACCACTATTGTCCACAAACAAGGTGGTACTTAGCATCAGGCACATCTAGGCAGTAGCCTCAGCCTCAGGCGACCGAGCTGGTGTTCTCCCCTTAAATGCCTCCAAAATGGCGGCAACTATAACCGCACTGTGATCCCAGAATGACGCCATCAGCTCGCTCTAGTCCACCCAAAATGACCCGAATGTCGTGCAGTATTATACTCATTTCACCAAAAGACATGTGAATCGAGTTAGTATCCGGCTACCAGCGCCCCAAACATGCAGAAATACGTGGAGTGTCCACGTGAGCATGCATGGAGTCCGCCAGATGTGGCAACCCGGTCTGAACTATCAAACCGCGTGGAGCGGGAGTCATACTAGAGAGCCAAGCCTTCAACTTGTCGTGCGCTCCATGTCTGTTTTGACATTTCAGAATGCCTCTAAACTGTACAGTTCACATACAGGAGGCTATGTTCCCTAGAAAGTTAGGGATAACATTCCCGTCAAGGGGGCCACCGGCCACTGGGCCTTTAATGATCCAGGGATCATCACTCCTAGGTCGTTTGCTAGTCGTACGTGCATTAGAATAGAACATATATAATGGTAATCAAATAAATGAAAAAATATTTACCTGAGGAGGATATGACATATTGTGACTGACTGTACCAACGATATGCTATTATTAAATAAAAAATATATAATGGTAAACAACAATAAGTACGTAAATTATTTACCTGAGGAGGATCCAATGCCCGCAAAACGGCCCCCAGCCTGTCGTGGAGGAGCAGGTCAGCCGGTGGACGGAGAGGGGACGTTCCGGCGACCTAAGCGCCTGGCCGGCCGCTCCCGACCCGACTGCGATTGGCGGCCGGCTACTCCAATACCGGTTGCGATCGGCGGCCGACCATCTCCAAGGAGGCCGACATCCGCCACCAGCCGCCGCCGCAGAAATNTTTGTCATTTGAAATTTGCACATATTCTGCTAAGTTATGATGTAGTTGACAAACCTACACAATGCATATATATTCTTTTGTCATTTGAAATTTGCACATATTCTGTTAAGTTATGACGTAGTTGACAAGCCTACTCAAAGGTAAGTAGGTGGCCCTTTAATAATAACAATAACGAGTATGAAATTTTTAAGCCCACTTGTATTTATGTGATTACATTGACGGAAATGATGGTCTCCAATTGTTATCTTTTGTGCTCTATATGACCAATGGATGATCAAAGAAAAACCTTTCGTCTCTAAATAGAACATCTGGGCTCGGTTGTCAATAATAATAATAGAATATACAAATTAATAATAAGCTTAATTGCTAATAAAATTAGGAGTGCACAAAGTTCGGTTAACCTAGCCGAACCGACCAAAACCGAAATTTCGGTTTGGACCGAAACCGAACCCGAATATGTGGTTTGGTTTTCAGTTTGCGTTTTCTTATAATTTCAGTTTTCGGTTCGGTATGGATAATTGTGATCGGTTAACCGAACCGAACCAAAAATCGATTTATACACATATATATGCATGTTTTTTTATTTATACAGATAAGTTATAAAAGCATTAAGTTGCTTTAATAATTGAAATTTTCAAGCTTCTATGACCCCTAAAATGGCTCAAGCAATAATTCGCACTCAAGATTGACTTCGTCATAGTCCAAGTCACGGTCCGGGTTCGAGAACTAACTCTAAGGTGAATTTATAATTTATTGACAAGATTAAATAAGATGATAAAAAATTAATTATTTTTTTATCGGATAAAACATCAATTTTTTTGCTCGGTTAAAAATTTAGAATTTATTGAGAAGATTAATTATTTAATGCGATTAACCGAAAACCGAACCGAACCGACCGCTGATTTTTCGGTTAAAAACCAAACCGAACCGTAATTTCTGTTCAGTTTTTGGTTATGATAATGGACATACCGAATTTTCGGTTCGGTTCAATTCGGTTTCGACTGAATGAGAAGCCCTAAATAAAATCNTTTGAATTTGAGACCTCAAAGTTGCATATTGACATTGTAACAACTACACCAATTCAAGTTATATGTTAAATTTAATAGAGTTTAATATATATAGACACTACAAATAAATTAATTAATTAAATTTATAAGATAATGTAAGTTAAATTATATTAATAAGGTATAAACTTATAATAATTAAAATATAATAATATAAAGGGTTAATTATCAAAAAAATCTCAATATTTTGTTTAATTGCACCTAAAACTCAACCTTTTCAATTTAACACCAAAATACAAACTTTTTTTAAGTATTGCAATATTGTCTCAAAGTTGACTTCCGGCCAAGATCTGCTGACATGACCGATCGGAAAATTGACATGGCACTCAAATTCAATCGTGTGTGCCACGTCATCAGACACATGTATTTCCACAAATACAGCCCCATTAACCCTATAATTGTTTTGTTCTTCCCCATTTATGCGCAGAATTCTCAAAAAAAAGAAAAAAGAAAGAGCGGCGACGATTTCTTTCCCATCTTTCCCAGCGATTCCACGGGCGGCGTTCCCAAGCGCTACGATCTCAAGCTCAAACCCCATCTAACAGCCTGTAAATTTTCCGGTGCCGTTCAAATTTCCGTCAACGTTATTTCGGACACCAAGTTCGTCGTCCTCAACGCAGCAGAGCTCGTTGTCGATCCTAAATCCATCACTTACACATCCAGTGATAAGGTACTGGCTCAGGCGGCGTCCTACGGGTTCTTTTTCTTTTTCTATTTTTCGTTATGGTTGGCTCGAAAATTCATTGATTAGAATGACAGACTTGTGAAGATATCTTTTTCTTCAGTTATTGCGTTGGTGAGAGAACAATCGATTTCATTCGGGAAAGGATAGCAGTCGTTGAATATTCTTGTAAAATCACGTAGTATATCACACTGAGGTTTCTTTGATTTGCTTAGTCATAATTATTTTGAAACAGTGATATTTCCCATATTGATTTAGTGAAGAAATCGTCCCCGCTCTTTCTT